GGATACATTTTGTGTAAAATCGCTCAGAAAACACAGGTGCAGAAAAATTGGGCCTCTCCTAGCTCAACTATTGGTCATTTTTCTTTCCAAACCATCTCTCTAATACACTGAGAAAAAAATAATCTCTTCTCTTGCAGGGGCTATGTAAGGTAATTCTCGGACAGACTAATCATTTGCAGGTTGGAGTAGCTCTTAACGCCTTGTGCAAAATAAACCAATGCGTCAAGCAAACACATTTTTACAGGTGAAAATTACGCTAGCCAACATAATTTCTCACTCTGGTTCATGATGTCAGGTATCAGATTTCTCCATTATTAATGTCTATATGCTCATGGGTGTAGAGCGTCTTGGAAGGAGATTAAAAGATACCACCCCCTGACATCCCCCTTCCTAATTTTTCGAAAATGTCAAGAGCCTTGAGGGGCTGGTACAGTAGCTCACTGTATCGGACAATACCCTGCAGACAATAGCCTTGCCTTCCATTAACGGGTCCACCAGAGTCAGGGCTCACTTGCACCTCACGAGAGAAAATCTGACTCCAGTAAAGTATGCTATCTGTCTATTCTGCACGGTATACCTATAAAGCTCCCGAAACATCTCTGGAGTGACCAATGCATTTCTCATTTTCCCATCACTCCCCCAATTTGGCTTTTTCTCTAAACCCATTATTCAAACTTTGCTAAAAAATAATAATCTCTGGGTAATCCTTGCAAGAATTCTTAGAAGGAACTCTTTATTCTTTTATCACTCTTATGGGAAACCTAACTCGTGATTACTATTAAGATTTCAAAATGTTTTCACCACCCACAGAGGCTTCATGTAGAGTGTGGGCGGGTGCATCTGTTAGCAGCCATAGTGTGATCTAAAAAGATATGGCCTTTTAGTTGAAGGAGCTTTAAGAATCCTAAAGCCCAGGACACAAGTGCAAAGATCCACATGAACCGATTATACACTAAATAGTTAGAGAAGGTCTTTGAATTGTAAAAAAAAAAGACTCACGTGGCTATCCTTGCATGGCTGTAATTGTTAGCTATCCACAACTCAGCTCCAATTGATGGTGACCTTTATGTGCAACAGAAAAAGGAACCACTTGGTGCTGCATCACCCTTACCAAAGCCAGCGTGCCCAAGTCCATCCTTGGGGTGCCTGTTAGGCCAGTCCATCTCATCAAGGGTCATTTATTTCCCTCACCAAACATGGTCTCTTCCTATAGTGATTGATCCTTTCCAATGGTGCATCCAAAGCAAGACAGTTGAGGAATGCTCTGTTCTCATCCATAGGTTTTCATGGGCTTTCCCATCCTGTACAGGTGATGGTCTCAGACTGTCCTAAAGTTGAATGTCCTAGGAGTTAGAATGGACTCAATCGCAGTGAGGTTTTTGTTTGTTTAAATCGGATGTCAATGTCCTGACTTTTTCCCTAGTCTGTCTTAATCTGGTGGGACAACGATGAAGCTTTCTGCTCTCGTTGTCGAGATCCACAGTCTCAGAAACCCCCAGGGGCAGTTCTTTTCTTTCCTCTAGGATCGCTAGGAGTTGGAATCAACTTGATGACAGTGGAAAAAAGAAAAAATATTTTTTGATCTTAATCTTAGAGTTCTGCTAAAACCTGACCACCACGGACAACTCTGCCGGTGTGTTCAATACTGGCCACAGAGCGTCCAGCCCCACGCTGCATCTCCCAAGCCATCACAGTCCGATAAGCTGAGAGAATCGTGATGAGATCTTGGCATTACTTTCCAGCAAATGCACGGCCACTTTCCCACTGCTAATATAGAGACTGGGAAGCTTTGAGGTAGAAGACTTAAGAACAGAAATGGGAGGATGCCTGAAAAAGACACCTTATGGGTGTCCAAGGCGAAAACTTTTCACTGAAATAGAAAGCCAAGTCTTTCTTTCTCCCTGGGAGCAGTGGGTGGTTTTGAACTGCTGACCTTGCAGGGCCTTCCTTAGGCAGAGATGGACCTGTGTTTGTCCGGTCAAGAAGAAAAGGAAATAGCCCTGGATTCAGACTTCCACCTAGAAAGGTGCTACCTTTGGATCTAGACACAACATCCTTGTCACCCAGAACAGTCTCTCTACAGAGCAGGGTGTTGGCCTTCAAGCCACAGGGCTCCAGAGTCTGACCCCCCATCTTGTGTTCATGAAATCACCCCTCAGAAACCCTTCACACTTCTCCAACAGCTGGAGCACAGCGCTTCTGAGTGAGGGTCAGACAAGTCCCTTAATTTTCACCTCTGTGCGACTCCGCCATCCCTAATAGCAGACTCATGACAGTCCACGAAATGCAGTCTTTTCCATGCTGGCAGCAGTAACAGAGCAATGTGTAGCCGGCTGGGGGATTGGAATTTGCAAACTCAGTATCCTGGGCCTCAGGCCAATGCAGGCTGGGTGCGTTGCCTGGGTGACACATTTGGTCTCTGGAGAGGGATGCTGGCACACCAACTGCATTCCTGGCACCACGTTTGCCAGTGAGAAACTTATGGAGTAGAGCTGGTATCAACTCCAGAGGCATTTGCCAGCTGCTTCTTAACTTCTTTGGCAACGCCAGTCTTTGCTATTAGTGGGCATACAGGCTCCTGAATGTTTACAAGAGCTCCTATTTGTGATACTCTTTGGGGTCTGTTGGATGAGCCTTCCAAAGAAAGTGCTAGAATGATATCCACATTCCAGTTTACAGATATCAAAGCTCTTTTGTCCCCTTAATCAGTCAGTCTCCCAAAATTGTCACTGAAAGACACCATGACCCATCTCTTGCTAGGAAGGGATTCCGATCCCTCTCCCCACTTTTAAGAAGAGCCTTTGGTCTAGCCCAAAGAAGAGCCTAGTATTTACTATGGGGGTTATGTGAGTGAAAATATTCATTTTGTCCCCAATTGCAATTCACTGCACGCCATTTGCTGATTTCTAGACTACCTGGAAGAAAGGTCTCCCATGAGAAATGCCCTCCAGCCTTCAAAGATGCCTGACCCAACTGTCTTATTTATTATTGGAAGGCAGGATGCACTTGGATCTGACCACTTAGTATTCAGACCATGCAAAGATCCAAATGAAAGGCCTATATAGCCCCGCTAGATGCACGGTAGCCAGGCCAAATACAGCCAACAGTTCAAATCACAGCTAAATTATATGAAAGCGTGGGGCAAAACATGCAGACCTGTCTTGTCAAAGAAGCAGTGGAGATAAAAGGAATTACTCCGTAAATGCCAACTCCAGAGGCTTCAAAGTACAGCGAATGGGGTTCCTTTCAGCTGCCCCCACTTGAATGCAAAAGGCTAGTTAGGGGTTTGAACATAATGTGTTCTTCATCCTCCTCCTCCACTTCTCCTTCTCTTTCTTCTCCTCCTCCTCCTCCTCCCCCTTTTAATATGCAAAACATCCAGCAGCGTATTGAGAACTACACAATTCCTCTGTGTATTTCCATAGTGTTAAGGGAGAGCAATGCGAGCAGGCCAAGTGATTACTACTGGACACTTCAGCTGTAGCCGAGGACATGCAGTTAATACAATAATTCACATATGTTAATGCTTAGTTCCATCAATGTCAGCTTTATTTTCTTCTGATATACACAAAGCTGGCACACAATTCTAACTGATGAGGTAATGTCATTTTTAATTTAAAGAGCCTTAAGCCGTCCACTCTAACTAGTGATATCATCTCTACCGTTGTCTCATGAGACTTTATGGAAACGCAAGTGCTGTCTCCTGGACAGTTTGAAAGGGGATTGTTAAAGATGACATTGGTCATCAGGAAGATATCCCACTTTGATCTCTTTGGAATTGCCAGATACCGTTTATGTTACTGCCGTATTTCAGCCAGTCCTGAAATTAATATGTCCCAGGACTTTTGAACCGAGTTAAACGGAGAAATAAAATCAAGGCTTCCAATGAATGAATTGCAATGCCTCCAGGTCAATTCTAGAAGGGAAATGGAAGAGAAATCTGATTAGCTGGCTCTTAGGTGACGTGCTAACTAGAAATAGAGACAAGATCAAGATACTAAGGAATAGGAAATACCAGACCAAACCTCCCATTGTCATGCATGCTAGTGTATTGGCATACAAATGGGACTAGGAAGGTCAGAATGTACCTGTTACATCAGTGAAATCTTCAGATGAATAGTGTATTGTCATTTCTTTATTGTAGATCTCCTTAACACATCATTTTTTTTTAGCCTGATTATTTTGAGGGGGAGGGGGCATAATCATAGAGCTTGATGGTCTCAAATGTATAGATATTTTCTTTTCGAAACAATCATGCCATTCCTTTAAAAATTCAGACTGGTGGGTACAAACGAAGCTAGTTTCTATTTTAAAATAAACTCCTGGGGAACACTGTGGTCGAAGTTCCAGGTGTGGATTAGTGGAAGGTGGTCTGTGTTTGAGCTATCGGGTGCACGTACCCAGAGGGTTGTTCCCCTTCCAACTCCCAATGCCCCCCTAACCCCCCCAGAAGTCTGGGATTGCATTAAATAGTAAAGAGTCTGTTTAGTATTCCATGGCCATATGTTTAGAGGGTCGCCCACAGAAATCAAAGTATTGTTCATGGAGAGCTCCAGCCAAGGGGACATTTTGAATTCATAAAAGAACTTCTCCATTTGAAAAGAATGCATAGCATTATGTATTGACACCCCACCGCCACAGACAAAGGGACACCAAGTAATAATAGAGAATTGTGCTCATGAGATTTTTCTTTTTCTTGTTAATTAGTTACTTTAACTGACATTGTCTGCAAGTATAATGGACGCCATTCTTCTTAATAGTTCTGCGTTGCCAGATGATGTATACAGACATGATGTAGTCCATTTTAATTATTTCATTTTGCTAGATTTTTCTTTCCTCTAGGTCACTGCAGTGGTGAATGCGGATGGTCCGGCCAGCGCTGTTTACCCTCATTTTTCTTCCTGAGAGACTCTGCTGAATAATGCTGGTTTCTAAATTATGGAAATCAGAAGGGGTGTTTCTCACCCAACTAATGTTCCTTTACCATGTTTGTACGGCAGGTATGACTACGTGGAAGTCATCGACGGAGACAATGCCAACGGGCGTTTATGGGGAAAGTTCTGTGGAAAGATCGCCCCTTCACCTATAGTGTCTTCAGGGCCATTTCTCTTCATCAGATTTGTCTCTGATTATGAGACCCACGGCGCAGGATTTTCCATACGCTACGAAATTTTCAAGAGAGGTGAGTAAATGACTTATAATAGACTAAGTGTGACGAAATGTTCATTCACCTTGTTCAGTCCCACGAAAGACAAGACAGGGGAGAATGCTTGGGAGCCATGATCGGATCCTCCCAGCAAAACACATGGGTTTCCACGGCCCACATGTTGCAGCATACTTTGAAGCGAAACCTATGATATGGAAGAAGTATGTTTGGACTTGGAACATGTATTTCGGGAATCAAATTGCATCCTTTTGATGTGTTGACCGGGGTTGTATAAAGAGAATGTACAATTCTTTTTAAAGCATTTATTTTTTTATCTTTCTTCTTTGAAAATTAGTTTAAGCTACTCTTAAAGGTTGATTTCTCTTCGTCAAAACACATTAGCCCCTCCCCCTCTTACCTTAAAGCCAGGCATGCCCTGTTCCCTTTATTTTATTACAACATTCAAGACTGGAAGGTCCCAGGGAAAGCAGAGCAGCCTCCCGGTCTTAACATTTCTAAAGCTATTGAGGGAAGAAGAGGCTTTCTCTTACAAGAGCCTCATGGAGGGGAGAGGGCACCTCTCGGAGGCAAAGAAGCATGAATGCTTTACATGGCACTCCCATTAGGAATTAAAAACCCAAAACAATCATTCCTTTCAATATAATTATCTGCTAATCTTCTGTTACATTGCTTTCTGGTACGTATTGGGATGGGCTAGAACACAAGTCATCGTTTCCCTGGCTTGAGGGATTAAATACACATCTTAATCAATCAATAAGAGAGGTGACTTTATCTGGAAGTCGCTGTTTACCGCAACGGCCTGGAGAACCCTTTTATATTTCAATTTTTGTCTTTCAATTATTTACATGTTTACAGTCGCATTAGTGTGTGGACTACTGATGCAGGAATAGGAGCTCAAGATCTGAATGGATTGTCCTTGAATAGAGGGAAAAGGAGGGGGGACTATATAGCCATGCCAAGTGCAAAAGCCGAGAATCCCTGGCACAGTAATATCTGAGAGTAATAACAAGAAGGCGCATTAAGTATTTCTGGAAACATTGGTACGACTTCTTTAAAATTTCAAAAATATTTGGTCCTGCCCACATAAATATGAATGGATGGAGAAAACTTTCTTCAGAACTCTATCTAAGCCCAGACTTAGAACACCTTCTGAATAAAGAACGAGATACATATGGTATCCAAAAGCACAGTTGAAAAGATATGTACATATTTCCCTGTGCTGAAAGCAGTTTGATTTGTTATATGAGTAATGTTCCATATATATTTATACATCTATCTTCGTGTCAGTATACATCTACATTCTCTTGCTTACCTTCATATGGCACATCAAAGCAAAGATGTATGAGAAAGGAGATCAAGGGTAGCATTTTGGGAGTTGGGGGAAGGTGGCCGCCAGACAGGTAGAGCATGCCCGGAGCTCCGTGGAGACTGTGTTTTAAATTCTATACCATCGACTAAACTAATGTTCTCTATCATACAATTATCATGATGTCTCTAAAATAAATCAGATCCATATACCAAAGAAGAAGAGTAGCATTTCATTTTCAATGTTTTGGAAGAGCTGAAGATTATTGAAAGAAAAAAAGAGATATCTGTTGCTAAGCCATTGAGAATGCTCCATCTTCCTTCCAAATGAACCCCGCCCCCATACTGTTATTACACTAAAAAGTTCTAGAGCCTCCCTGTCCTCCCTCCAGAACCATCCTTGATACCTGAAACCTTATTTTGGTCTTCTTCTCGACACCCTAACTCCAATATGGACTTTGCTTCTTTCGATGTGGATCTGAGGATCTCAAAGAGTCATGGCTTCGCCATCCACTACCATTACCCATATTGTCTGCCAATCCTTGTCCCCTCCTTGTTACTTTGTCCCATACACAGCTTTTCAAACAGCCATCAGCCACTCTCCCCAAATGCCCAAAGAAGGTCCCCATTGCCTCTGGTGTCGAGACTCAGTATTCCGCTCCACACTTGACATCACTACTCTCTGCACTTCTCCAACTTCAAGTCAGACAGACCCACAGCCTGGCTTTGTGAGGCGGTTAAAAACTCAAGTCATAAAGCTTGGTGACCTGTTATGAATCCTAACTCTCCCCTAGGCTCTCTGTCCTTGTTTGAGAAAAGAATAGTCAGGTTTTTGTGAACATCAGTTGAAATGAAAACATGTGGCCAATGCCTGTCAGCGAAGATGTGACAATAAATAATACCCTTTACAGTTATTTTGGATAAACCTGATGCCTTCAAAATCCATAGCTGTTGCTCCCTACTAGTCAATGCAGCTTGCCTCTCTGGAAACCTGATTCTGAATGCATACTCCTCACAAAGTCCTTTCTGATTGATCATATTTGTGTCCACACATGCATACATGTGTACAAAAATATATGCTGTGAACAGAATCCCTAGTGGCAGTGTGGGTTAAGCATTGGGCTGCTAACCACAAGGTCAGCAGATCAAACCCACAAGCTACTCAACAAGAGAAAGATGAGGTTGTCTGATCTTAAAGATTCACAGTCTCAGAAACCCTAAAGAACAGTCCTGTTCAATCCTGCCAGGTTAATATGAGATGAAATAATCAACTTGGCAGAGGTAGAATATATTGTATGCACATAGGAACACATATGTACTACATACAAACATATTTGCTAACATATTTTCTGTAACACTTTCAAATTTCTTCATGCATTCATGTTTCATTTTCCTACTAGAGGGATACCACCTGAAAAAAAACCCGCAGAGAGCACATCTTTTGTTGCTTTATTTACCCCACTACACATACTATCATGCTTACACCAAAGATCCCAGCCCACTGCCACTGAGTCAATTCTGACTCAGAGCAACCCCATAAGACAGGGTAGAACTGTCTCACGAGGTTCCCAAAGCGATATTCTTTATGGGAAGTGGTCAGCCACACAGAGAACCTGCTAGGTTCAAACTGCAGACCTTCTGTTAGGGACTGAGTGTTTGGCTACTGCATACTGCAACACTGGGATTACTTATAGTCATTCTAGAGTCTCCAAAATAGTTATTAATATCATATATATATAGGCTGCAGAATGTTTGTGGAAAACTTGAATTAAAAGATCATGGAAATTTTCCACCAACATTTTGAAGCCCCCTTATACATTTAAAAGCTCATTTTTTTCTTTTGCCCATACAAGAACATTTTTTTCTTCAAAAGTCATTTAATGATATGATCGGTCCCATGAATCTACATAGCACTTCTTTCAGAATACAGCAGTATTACATTTCCTCACCACATGTGGAGTATATTAATCATAGTTTAATGCAACCAAGAAATCCATCTTCTATTTGCTGACTTTGAGGGACTCAGACCATAGGTTACCGTGCTAAGGGAGATTTGGGTCATGTCTGAGCCTCTCTTGAGGCCTCTCTTTTCCTGGTCATTGGCAAGGTCAGTCTCCACCTCCCCTTGGTCCTCCTGGAGCCAGCCTAGACCAACCTAATGCTATAGGCAGGTACCACACTCTACCCTTCTGTCTATCCCAGATGCTGAAGCTAGGACTCCCTAACCCTAGAAAGAGTCACATGCACCTCAAAAGATTGTATCCAAGAAACCCAAGCCTTTCCTACCTACCACTCTGTTCTTCCCACCTAGGCCAAAATGCTGGAATCAGCTGACAGCACTTTTCTATGGGTATTGAGAATGGGGTAGTGGGAAGGCATTTATGCAGAGTAGAATTGGTGATGTGATATATGTTACTTCTTAATAGTCTGGCTAGTTCATAAAAGTTGTTTATAGACGATCTGAACTATTAATATTCATCTTTATTGTCATTGATAACAAAATGTGGCATTCTTATAGAAGTACAAACTCCCCGCGGTTTCAGAAATAACTTCAAAAGCACAGTGTTCACTGGGCTCCCCAGGCCCGTACGTGCTCCACTCATGCCAGCAGCTCCCTCATTCCTAGACACAGCCTTCTTTAGCCTAGTCCAACCATTGTCCATCAGCGGGAAAGTGCTCATTGAATTGTGGCAAACTTACACAGCAGAGAAGAAGGGGAAATACTAACTTTTCATTGATTGTGGGTAAAATAGGAAATTGCAGAATCTTTAAATTAGAAGGATTTTTTTTCCCTTTCAAATTCTGAAACTCAACCCCATGGATTATGCACAGAATCGGGGGACCACATAGGTTAGATGTCCCCCAAGGTTACACAGCAAGTTAATGGGGAAAGTGGGGATAGAACTCAGATCTCCTGATGCTCAATGCACATCTTGTCATTACCCCATGGATCTTCCCTAAGCTTTGTCAAAGTATCATTGAAAACCGGACCTACCGTCTAAAGGCATCTGGCAAGACAAAGACATAGTGAACACCTTCAAATTCAGTTTTGATTCATGATTTTAATTATACTCTTCGTTCCTTTAATTGTTTCCCTGCCATTAACATTTGTAAAATGTATTTAATTGTTGTCTATGCACAGTAAATAAACGCAGCATAACATCCACCGATGCAACCGATTCTGCGTGTTGAATTCGGGCATTGGTGACATGCCTGGGTCCTGTCACTGTTCTCACCCTCCTGCCCTGAGCTATTCTTACCCATGACCGTAACCCACTGCCTCCCCGGGTTCCAGCTACCCTGGTCAATTTGATCTCGGGTCGATCTTACAGGAGTACAATGCTCAAGGCGGACAATTTTTTACTAGCCAGACGAGTAAATTTGGTATTTTGAATTATTGTTTGATTTTAAGCATACTGCAGGGATGTTTTTAAGGTTAGCATGAGGTTTAGAATTATTTCAGGGGAATAGTTTCAGGGGTTCAGCCTAGTGTCTGTGAGAATTTGAAATTCTATTCCATATCTTCCTTCTCCTGCTCAGAAGTTGTCCTAACTCTCTTAGTACATCGGAATCTCACCTAGATTAATGTTTTCAAAGAGGGGAAGACAGTCTTACTTGCACTGAACACAGCTGTTTGCTTTGTCTGACGTGGACCTGACCCACCCCAGAGGAAGAGGCTGGGAGTGTCCAACGTCACTATTCCCACATCTTCGGGATAAAATTCTAGAGGGTTCTTAGTGTTTTAGGTATTTCTTTGGGGCTCGGTGAGTTAAACTGACATGGTAACTCTCTGTCAGAAGACACCAGAGTAACTCAGAAACAGATGATATACTCTTCGATGCATTCCAGAGTCTCTTTCGCTGATAACGACATGGCAAAACTCAACACATTAGTCACTATTTTTATCAGAATCCAATCAATACATTCTTGAGGCCGTCGTAGTGAAGGGTGAGTCTGTCCAAGAAGGATTGGGGAGTTATTTAAATAAATCAGACCTCTGTGTCCCGGGCTCAGTGTGCCCATCTAATAAGTATTCTTTGAGTCTCCAATGCCATGGCTATGTAATATGCCCACAGGGAAAGAAACAATTGATTTGCCTTCTCAATGGGCTGCCAGATGCACTGAAGCGGAGATTCCGTTTCCTGACCCGAGTCACTAAAAATAGAGACCTGGCTAGTAAAATGTAATCAGTATCAACACCTAATAAGCTGCTCCTAGTTGCTTGGCACACTTGGAGAGCATTTGGTGGGGCAAAAATCTCACCGGATCGCCTTATTTGGCATTGAAGTTGTGTATGCCATGGCCGCGCCGCTCTTCTGCTTACACGTGGCCCTGAGACGAGGCAGAGCCACCAGAATGAGCAAAACCTCCGCCCTTTGGCTGCAGAGAAGGATTTTGCATTGAACCCCTGCACATTTTTATCTTGAGATTGAAGAGGGGTCAAGTCATCTCTGATTCACACAGAGCCCTGACTGCAGTATCTCAGGATCATGGCGGCAGTGGGGTTGGAGGCAGGGGTGGGGTGGTTGGTAAGCCCTTGTCCATAGAGATGTGAAATGTTCAGTCATGTAGTGAATGACACCTTGTTCACAGTTGGATACCATGAATTGAAATGGTGCTCATTCATGAAGTCACAAGGTCAACTCGCATTATCACCTGTATGCCCTGGACCAATTGTCCATCGCAAATCAACATGATTTGTCAAACCTTGATAACCCTGAAGAGTCATTAAAATGACACCTTATAAATGCATGCCTGCCTATAGATTGCCCTTATGGCCAACGTTTCCATAATAAACTACGTGGAAGGACATACAGTGCTGTGGCTGATGCTTTGGGGAAGGTTAGGATGTCAGCATTGATATGAGGTGACTTGCAGCAACACGGCCTCTAATCACAGTTTATCGTGCCCTCACTAACAGCCACACTTTACTGGCGCACCTGTGTCAACACCACTCAGAATGAGTCACTCACCCTGGGTCCACGTACGAATTACCTTTCACAGTGAGTTTGTCAAAGAGGCAGAGGTCACATCTGGCAGAGGTACTGAGTCACTAGTGTAGGAATCTGAAACCCGAACTCCGTCCACTGAATTCCCTCTCTCGCTTTTGCAAATGTTCTATTTCACCTTATAAAGGGCTGTCAGCCTTAAGATTTAAAGATTTAAGCTTGAAGGGGCTATAATTATTTCTCTAGGGCTCTGTCAAGATTTCTGCAGCTTACGCATTCATTGTTCCCACATGATTTTATATTTGTCAGTTTTTTTCCCTCCCCGGCAACAGCAGAAGTTTTTCAATTGCTCCCCACAAATGGAAAACGAGGGTGAACGCCATCAATCTCGAGCTGACTTTCCACAGCGATCCCCAATAGGAAGAGGCTGAGGCAGGACTGACCTGATGGCTTTTCTTAGAAAGATGCGCCCGTGGTCTCGGCCCACGTGGTTTCTCAGGGAAGTCAAATGAGTGGGACTGTCGCTTTACTCCTTGTTCTTTGTCACTTGTAGGCCACGAATGTTCCCAGAACTACACAGCACCGAGTGGAGTCATAAAGTCCCCTGGATTCCCTGAAAAGTACCCCAACAGCCTGGAATGCACTTATATTATCTTTGCACCAAAGATGTCAGAAATTATCCTGGAATTTGAAAGCTTTGACCTGGAGCTTGACTCAAACCCCCCCGGGGGGATGTACTGTCGCTATGACAGGATGGAAATCTGGGATGGATTCCCTGAAGGTAAGAGCCATTAGAAGTGTCCCCCTAAGAAAAAGACCTGTGGGATGGGGCATGGGAATCCATTTACAAGCACCACGATCCAGGCATCATTTTGAAAGGAATGGTTCAAAGGGGAAGGGGCAGGGGCAGCCAAGTAGCCACGCTGTTCTGTACAGAGCAGAGATGAACTGTCTGAGCTCCAGAGGCCCTTAGAGGTTGTCTAGTTAAATTCCTCCATTTTATAAATAAGAAATCTGAGGCCATGAACATCTCCCAGCTACTTTGGTGAGAGAATGGAGGCCGAAGCATTGTTTCTTGGTCGGAAACTGTGTGCTGATTTCACTGGCTTGCCGTGTGGCTCTTGATGTTACCTGTTCTCGGGTCCATGCACACAGGAATACAATGCTGCCCCATCTCATGATCTGCTGCAGATGGCCTGCAGTGCCCATGAGTTTCACTTTATGATTTTCTGAAGTGGGGCCTCAGACTCCGCTTGCTATTCAGCTGCCTACTGCGATGAACTCTTAGACTCTCAGATTAAATCAACCCTCCCATCCTTACAAATGCAGAGACCAAGAGATGAGGGGTTAAGGGGACGAGGACTACCTGATAAAGCTTCAGGGTGAAATAGTTATCCATTATATTACCAAAAAAAGAGGGGAGAATTCTGACCAGAAGTGAGACTGTTTGAGCAATTCTAACTGGGGTAGATTTTCCCATTGCCGTTGAGGGCATTGTTGATCCTCAGCAACTTCTCAACAAAGGTCCCTGCCATCGAGTCAGCTCTAACTCGTTGGAACAGAGTACAGCTTCCCCTATAGGTTTCCAAAACTGTAACCCTTTACGGAAGTAGAAAGCCTCATCTTTCTCCCTCAGAGCAGCTGGTGGTTTCAAACTGTTGACTCTGCAGTGAGCAGCCTAAAACCACCATGGTTCCTTTCAGCAAATTCAGTGACATCAAAGTATGATTTATTTTCATTGACTCATTCCTCTCCATTCGTTTGCACATTGAACAATATACGCATAGAGCAACTACCGTGTAGGCACTGTTCTAGAACTTGACAGATGAAGCGATCAAAAAGGGCTGCCCTTGTGAGGCTTCAGGAGCCTGGGGCTGCCACGGTTAAAATGCTGGGCCGCTAACCAAGCAGTCAGCAGATTGAACCCACCAGTGGCTCTGTGGGAGACAAGAAGTGGCAGTTGACTTTTGTGAAGATTTGCAACCTTGGAGCCCTTAGGGGAAGTTCTCCTCTGCCCTCTATGGTAGCTTCAAATAGGAGGACTGTGTGTTTGGGTTGTGGAGTATCTAGGCACGTGAGCTTTTCGTCATGTCCATTCTGACTAATGGCAACCCTTACGAAATGCTTCCAGTAAACACACAGCAAGGAGCTACGGAGGAAGAGAGGCTCGGAGGAACGCAGGGTAAAGGGATGAGACAGAAAAGGCAAGGAGGAGCGCATGTAGGGGCTGAAATGGCAAGCTAGACCATACTAAGGGAGTGACATTGGAGCAAAGGGATGAAGACCATGGCGGAGGGAGTCATATGGACATCAGCATGGAAGCTGCCCAATCCTTGTGAATTAGAAGGAGAAGGCCAAAAACACACACCCAAGTTCTGAACCGGGGAAGATCACAGCAAGTAACATGCAGCAGCTGCATTGCTTGTCTTGTGTTTAGTCTCTAGAGAGCTCGTGCAGCCCAGATAAGAAAGGGCAGCACAAACATTCTGGCTAATCGCATAAAATAGAAGGAGCAAACTGGTTAGAATGCTCAGCTGCTAAGTCAAGTTCAGAGGAAGATGTGACCGAAGGAAGGGAGATGTGGCAGTCTGTTCTGTTGAAAACAAAAACAGAACACCAGCCTTGGCAGCCCTGTGGGCACTTCCACTCTGTCCCATAGGGTCCCTTTGAGATGGAATCCACTCATAGGCAGTGAGTGCTATATAATTATCAAGTTGGGAGAAAGACTATTGAAATAAACTGTAAATCAATCACAAACACAACCTGAAAGAGAGGATTTAGTCTTTGAATTGACCTTTAAGTCATCAGGATAATTCCGTTCGGGAAGATTCCACCCTAGTGCACATCATTGGAGAAAGGGGGGTTTAGGAAAAGCTCCCGTTGTCATCTGAGTAAATGGATGACTGCTAGCTTCATTTCTTCTTGGCTCTTTACCATATAAATAGAGTTATGGGATCTTATCAAAACTCCTTCATTAAGTAATAAGGTTTACCCTGACAGAATGCTGATGGCTTCTCACTATTGAATCCAATAATTAGGAACACAATGTTATAATAATATTGGAACAATAGTTGAAACATTTAATGATGGGTTTATTTGTTCACAACCGAAATGTTCAGCCTTTCCATCTAGAACTTTCATTTAAAATGACATCTGAAACGGGGTCCAATCAACCAACTTATTTAGAATACTTTCAGAAAGAAGCACATTGTTATGCGTGTCAAGGGTTGTTCAAAGTGGTAATTTTCTGGTTCCAGAAAATCACTGAATTGAAACGAGGAACAATTAACAATAAGAGTTATCAGCCTTGCAGTTCACCCGTGTTTTGAACTATGGTACGTCTGACTTATTCCCTGAGAAAGCTAGCTGTGGAATATGAAATGTGTGTTTACATCTTTGTTAATATTTACCTGGCCTCCTCCAGCTGACACCAGCAAAGGAGGTGTCTCTCTTTTCGGGGCAAAATGAGAGACGACATTTCGCTGGGGTTTGTGTCCAGATCATGGACAATGTTTTTGCCACAGTCAGTCCCATCCGTACAGTCCACCACTGGCACAGTTGCTTTTAGCTTTGAATATCATTTCCAAAACCGACAACCAGAAAGCGCTAAAAGCTTTTAACCATCCACTGATTTTATGTTGCATTCTGTCTTAAGCATCGAATTAAATGACTGGGAAATTGAAAGCTACCCGTTGATTCAGATTGCCTTAGAAGAAAAGCCATTTACTTCCAAACTCAAACTACATGAATCCCCGGTCTCCACGCCGCACGAGCTTGGAAGAGCTGTGTGTTTGCTCTCAGCAGCAGCTCAGTCTGTGAAGATGGCATGTGGCTTGAGAGCCATGAGCTCAGCCCCACTGCTGTGGTTGACCCTAGAGTACTCGTGCTGGATTATGGGGCCAAACAGGAATGCTGAGCTCACTGCCACGTGCTGGGTGGGGCATCGTGATGATGTCAGCCTCTGCCTGGGCTGGGGGCGGGGCTTCCATTACAGTCTTATCTGCATTCCCCAAATTACAAGCACTTTCAGGAAGAAGTTTTATAAAACTTCTTTTACCTAACTAGAGTGTGTCCTGTGTGCTTTCTTTACTTACAGGTAGAACAAAATCAAACTTTTAAAACCACGAGAATAGATAGAAATGAGAAAAAAATTTTCGGGGGAAACATAGCAAAGTGTAAATTGAGTCCTCTAAATCTTATTCACCAAAATATTCCACTTTTTAAAAGCAGACATGATCTGTCTTGGTTCTTTGAAATGCCCCCCCTCCCCCCAGCTTTTTTTTTTTTGCTTATTTATTCAAAATACCTCCTTGGAAAAGTATCTCTTGAGAGTTGAATTTTGCTTTTTCCTCCCTCCCCACATTAAAAGAAAAAAATATATAAGCAAAATAATCTGATCACAAGATAGGAGTGTAATTATTTGAGAGATTAATAAGAGAATTCAGAAGCTGAGACACGCCACACCCAGTTACAGGTGTGTCTTCAAACAGCACAAATCCTAAATTAGCTCTACACCTGAGAAGACATGGTCATCACAGGCCTAGTTCCCCCCACTCCCCCCCGGTGATAACATGGCAGACATTGTTTACTTAAAATTTTTTTAATGCATTTGACTTCTGTTTCCGTGGTGTTTTTCACTCATCTCCTGGGCCTTTGGGTTGACAATAAAGGAAATAGAAAATCCAATCACTGTGTAACACACAAATGAGCACACATACACACACACACACACACACACACACACACACACACACACACGACGGGCATGAGTCCATTCCTGCTCAAATCAATCAATATTGCATTAGCTTGCTAGGCAAAGATCTTGCTGTTGTCCAGGAAAATTCAATACTTCTTTGTAATCTTGTCGAAAAAGCCTTTCACTCTCATGTCTTGAGGGCTCCCAAAGAGAGTTGCATGCTGCTGTCCGGGGGCGATGTTGCAAAGGACAGAAGGCAGATTTACCCAGCATGTCTTCAACATTATCAACCAGTGAGTCATGGAGACGCTCATGGAATTATGAGTCTGCATTAGACAAGTTCCCTTCTGTTTGCTCTTTCAAAGAGCCCTCCCCCCCCTCCCGCCATCCCGAAGGACTTGGGTGATAGGGAGGGGGAGACCAGCCTGAGCTTTAACTGGGTGACCACAGTGTCCCTTTCCTGGCTTATGTTCTTGTAAGGTTAGTAGCTATGGCGATCAGAGATAATGCCAAGGATTAGAGTGCTTCCGAGAGTTTGCCCACAAATGAAAAGAAGCATCATGAAACAAGAATCATGGAATTAAACGGAGGAAAAAGGGAGGGTACAACAATGGGCTCAAAAATGCCCATTTAAAACTTCAGACCATATGGGAAATAATTTTTGAGGAAAGACCTGAATGTTCATGTAAAAAAAAATTTATTTTAATATTGGACCACATTCAGAGCAAAGAAAAGCTGTCAAAGAACTTGCTACAGAAGAATAAAAAATCGAGGTCAAGATTAAAGCTGAGGAGTGGGTGGGGAAGCAAAAAAAGACAGGGGCTTCAGACTCTGAGACGCTTTCTCCCACTAACAAGGGCGTCCAGTGTAGCAAAGTCCTCTTCCCACAATGCTCATCTATTTACCATTCCAATGTGATGCCCTATTCCACTGTTGTTGAGTAGATTCCACCTCATAGCAGCCTATTTAGAGTTTCTGACTCTAAATTCCCAAACTTATTTGGCCTACTTACTGCCCCTTCTGCAGGAAAATAAAAATGACTCAGAGTACACCCCTGGAAAAAGTTTTAAAACATGTGTGCTATAGCCCATAATCTAGGATAGAGTATAGGTATCGCCTTATGCTGCCTGCTTGATCGATCCCTCCAGCTCTCCTCACGGGTAGGCATTGCCCACTTTGGGAAACCCTGGTAGAGACCCTTACTGGAGCAGCCAGTCTCCTCTTTCCCTCTCAGAGAAACCCATGGGATTAATGCTACCCTAACCCAAAGCACCACCTAGAGATTCTCCGTATTAATTCCCCTTATTCAGTCTTCTGTTGGCTTTCTTTATGAAAAGGTAGACTACACACCGAGAGTGAGAGGGTTGTTAGAAAGCCAGGTGATTGCAGTACAGAGAAACATTTATGTATTTATTTAATTCGGCCAAATCAGTGACTTTGGATACGTTGAGTTACCAAGTATAACCAGGTTCAGGGTGGGTTGCTTGCTTGTTTTTCTTTTTAAACAGGGCTGGCCAAAACTTGAAATCCGTAACCCATAATCTTATCTAGGCGCTCCAAAATATAGAGGTGATTGAATGAGTTAAGGAGCCTTGGTGGCCCCGTGATTAAGCCTTTGGCTGTGAACTGAGAGGTAGATGGCACTCCATAGGAAAGAAGCTGTGAAGTCGATTTCCAGAAAGTTTACAGCTTTGAAGCCCTTTGGGGTCCAGGTCTACTGTGTCCTTAAAGGATCCCCATGAGTCAGAATCGGCCTGATGGCAATGGGTTTGGTTGGGGGTTTGGGTTTCAGATGAGCGGCCTACCCAGAGACTCTGCTCTTTTATGGGACTCCAGCGACACCGGTTCTCAGATTGAGTCTGTGGGGTTGACATTCCCATTCACAGCTTCTCCCAGCCCGAATCAAGTGCCCGCCCTAACCTTGGAACAAAGAACGGGACGCAGTTGAAGCCCCAGCCATGGGGAAAAGTCCACCTATTGGGCGTTCTTCAGCAAAGCAGTCGTTCTTAGTTGAAACACACTGAACCAGGGATTTCTTGCAGGGGAACACCATCCACACCAGATTGTTCTAAGTCCAAACCATCTGGCATAATTTCACCATATGGGCAATGGGAGAAAAAAAAAAAACGAGAGAAAAAGAGACTGTGTTGTGATGGTTTCTAACTGCTGACCCAGACAGGGAAATGGCAAGATTCTCCACTTCCAGGAGGCTTCTGTACTGTCCATCAGGCACTGTCACAGTTACTCATGGCCCTGGCCTGCCTAAAAGCACTGCTCCACGGAGGTGTGGGGCTCTGGAGTCAAAGTGCAGTTTCACAGGAACAGAAATTAGCCAGCATTCCAAATGGTCTCCTGCCCCGGGGAATTCTTTTTCCTGGCGGGCGGAGTCCTGGCACTGGGGCCACTGGACATACGGGTCGTGTAGTTATGCTTAGGTTTGGGTTGGGAAACTTAAAAAACAAACAACTGGAGGGAAATCAGAGAGATGCTCCCCCCCCGCCCCCCGCCTTTAATTTTTATTGAAAATGGTGATGAGTACATTATTCATATCTTTTTAAACAAAGAAACAAACCTCCTGACAACTTGATGCTGACTCATAACCACCCCGTGTAAGGTTTCTGAGACGGTAAATCTTTCTCAGACCTCATTTTTCTCTCTTAATAATACGAGTGCCATTAGCCAAAGATGGGTGCCAAGGTGCCATTGACAGCCCAATTGCACCAAGCATTTGAATTCCAATTGAACCAACTATTTCGATTCTGTTTCTAAGAAGGATCGCGTGGACTGGGGATGAGGTTACACTGCCCTTGCCCTGCCGAGCACACTCTAAAGCCCTCACTTCCAACCGGGTCTGGTAGGCTCCGTGCAAACCCGGTCGCCAGGGACTTTGGGTTAGAAAACACTTCTGGGCTCTGAGGGGACCCAGGCGTCTGCCCGAGGAGAAGAGACATGCTGACATCGTCTGCATTTCTGCCCTTTTCCAGTCGGCCCTCACATTGGACGGTACTGTGGACAGAAAACACCAGGTCGGATCCGCTCTTTCTCAGGCATTCTGTCCATGGTGTTTTATACCGACAGCGCCATCGCAAAGGAAGGCTTCTCGGCAAACTACAGCATCGTACAGAGCAGTGTCTCCGAAGGTCAGTGGTCATGCAGTTCACAAAGGCCCTGGTGACAAACCCCGTGCATCTCACAAAGTCCCATGGTCATTCTTCCTCCTCCCACACCTGCCGCCCCGGGAAACACTGAAGATGGGTGTGGTGAATTGGGGTGCCCACTGTCTTGTGCTCTTTCAAAACTGGTCGTCACGATAGCACTAGAACTAGCTGGTGTGCTTTCTGAATAAAATCGTGGACCAGGAAGTTGATCGTGAGCCTTAGAAATCATGGGGAGAAAAACGGAAGGTGGCAAAGCGAGCCTTGAAACAATGAGCTCAAACCAAACCCCTGACCTGGCTTCCTTGAAGGTGGGCTCGCCTGAGAATCCTTGATCCCTGAGGGTGCAGATGCACCAGTTTGCAAGAAGCATGTGGACACAGCAGTCCCAGCAGTCACATTGCATGTGCGGGGAGAGCCCGCTGTCTGGTGTTGGTAGAACAGCCCGGAGGAAGCCAATTGTGTCTTTCTTACTTACATGAATGAAAGTGGGTGTCCGGGTAAAAGAAACACATCTTAATTCCTAGTGCCCTTTATGAAGGGACAGAAATAAAGGGGGAGGGGTGGGGAGAAAATCCTGTATTTTCGGATTCTAATAAAATATTCCACTCAACCCGCTCACCCTTATTTCAAAGTGTCTAAGGGCTTTAGTTCTCCTAAGGGCCCAAGCGGGCGGGGGTGGGTCGAACCTTGCAGAACAAGAAGGAAGCTGTTTGTATGTTTCATCAGTTCAGCCTGCCAGGCTGTAAAATAACAAGAACCAGAGGGTGTGGGGCAGACCTGTTCTCTAAAGACAGAGGAGTATCTTCCCTATCACATTCTGTTGTGCTTTTTTTTTTTTTTAACCAAAAAGTGGGTGGGGAGCAATTAAGTTTCTCAATCTAATTCGTAGTTAACGTACTGCCTTAATTGACATGCATTTTTGTGCTTATAAATAATGTTCATTTTGCAAATAACAAACTTCAGCTCCAAAGTGTAGAGCCCATGATGATGACAGCGGATGTATAAATGTGCTCGATACAATTGATGTATGGAATGTTATGAGCTGTAAGGGGCCCCGATAAAATTAATTTTTTTTAAAGTATAGATCTCTAAACCCTTTTATCTATCTGGAGAGAAAATTCAGACCAATTTGTCATTTTTACCATTTGGGTTTGTTAAGCATTTCTGGGTGAATGAGCTTTTCTATTTAATCTCTAAAGTTTTGCTTTTGGTGTTTATTTTTCCTGTGTTAGATTCTCTGGATTAACATTTTTCTTAACATTGATTACTCATTTCCCGATAGCATCAAACTGGGTGTGCGAGGGCTAATGGAAAACATGTTTTGATGATTGATGGCCATCATCGTAAGCATGATTCTTTTCTGCTGTAATCCTCTGGTGCTCTTAGGGGCCATATGATACTGAAGGCTACCCCTGGCGGATACATTTGTGTTTTAGTGTCATAAACTAATGATGTTAATAATGACGGCCAGGCCACAGACGTGGCCTTGGTGCTCATTGCAGGGAATCAAAATGACCAAGAGTTAAGATCTTGTATGGACCCAATAGCAATGACAGACTGGAATGAGCTCTTTTTCAGTGGGTGCAATACAGTAGGAAATAATTCAGTCCGAAGTGTATGTAAACACAATCAGGGTGTCCTTATATGGCATCGTTACACATTCCACTTTGGAAATAAATGGAAATTTGTATCATTTCCTAATGAATCCCACATAGCATTTCTCTTAGCCTACATCCAGATGGGAGAAATCATTAATCACTGGCTTGATCTCGGTAGCCTTCTTTTTAGAAGCCGTTGCCATCCAATTGCACGTATTAGTGTCAAGTTGCAATATGTCCCTTACTGTCATCTTTTTTTTCCCCCAAGTCAACATCAGAATGAACTCTTGAATCTGCTAGATTAAGAAGAAAAGTATGTCTTCTGTCAGCTATACTTTGGTAACTTGGGACTTTCTTGTTTGCTGTTTGCCTTTTAGATTTTAAATGTATGGAAGCTCTGGGCATGGAATCAGGGGAGATTCATTCTGATCAGATCACAGCTTCTTCTCAATATAGCACCAATTGGTCCGCAGAACGATCCCGCCTGAACTACCTTGAGAATGGGTGGACCCCTGAAGAAGATTCTTACAGAGAGTGGATACAGGTAGGTGGTCTGAGCCCTCGTGTGCACGAGGTGGGAAGATTTTGACCCTGTACAAAAGATGATTGTAAAGTAGCAGCATCATGTGCTGTGGACAGTGGGCATAAGTACCACCTTTGCAGTAGCATCAGGACAAAGCAGGCCCAGGTGATTTACCTGACCCTCCAATGCTTTTATCTTACTCTTCACAGAATACAAGCACAGATGTCTCACTTGGGTAACAATGGAAGGAGCTGGATTTTTTCCAACAATGACACATGTTCTATTGATATGCTTCCTCCTTTAGTGTATTTTCATTTCCTTGATGAAATATATTAACCTCATGTGTAGATCGGAATAAAATAATTGTTTCCAAATACCGGGGGCAGTGGTGGGGGTGGTATTTGTTCTGGATAGGAGAAGGGAAGGAAGGGGTTGGGACTTATTTTTCCACAATGGTCTATATATTGTTGTTGTGTGTGGTTGAGTCGATTCTAACTCATGGCAACCCTACAGGATAGGGTAGACCGGCCCCTGTGGGTTTCTGAGACCATAAAATCATTGCGGGAGTAGAAAGCCTCATCTTTCACCCTCGGAGCAGCTGGTGGTTTCTAACTGCTAACCTTTGCAGTTAACGGGCCTCTTTTTGGCATGCCACTTGGAAGGGTTTAATTGACCACAGGTCTCAACAGTATCTGCATGTACATGCATGTACACGGACAAACATGTGCATGCAAAACTATTCGCTGTATACCATGTAAGCACAAATAAGCATAGGCTTATTATTATTATTACATGTTTAACAGGTAATCCACCCCAGTCACTGCTAGATACAAAAATAATGACTCGTTCCCACAGAGAGTTTCTCAGCAAGAAATAAGCCAAGATGATTAATCTTCTCCTTTCCACATCCATCGCTGTTTCAGTCTTTTAAGCACAAATACCAGATTTCATTTTGCTTCAGAAAGGTCAATATTAGTTTAACATACACTTAAAGTGAAATGGCTTCTTACGGGAGACTGAATTAATGCTAACCTCTAAATGATCACATTGACAAATGTGTCGAGGGTAAGAACAGACGAGCCTTTTACCTTGGGACTGCTGAGTCCGCTTGGAGATAAAGGCAGAAACTAAATGAATCTGCCCGTGTCAAAATAGCTCTTGGTAACTTGGTTGGGTTTTTTTCCCCCCACATCTCCCAACCAACAAGCAATTCCGTCTGATTGACAGGCGTGCCTCTCCAGGAAAGCTCCCAATTTGCAGTGCTAAGCATGTCTGAATGGTGATGTAGTCCTCTTCTTGGTAATGTGGGGAACACTCAATATTTTAGGGAAAGTGGACTTGCAAGAGTTTGGAAATTGCAACCGGGCCAATTCTTCAGTCCGAGGCAATTCTAGGTCTGGGACCGCATGGAGACTAAATGGGTTCTCACAAAACATTGGTCACCAAAGCAAGATTTACATCATTCTCAACTGTTGGACGTAATTTGAGGCTTCCACAGAAGGGGGAAAAAATCTAGAATTATCTAACTCTTTCTTTCAATGATAAGCCAAATAACCCAAACCTCCAAGCAATAAGGTTGAGCTTTGACTCGTGCTGTTTTCCATATCTGGTTGGTGAGGGTCCCTCCAGGACCGAGGCTAAAGAGCCATCCTTCATCTGAAATGTGAGCCACAGCAGCCGCCAAGCAGAGGAAGGAAGAGAGGGGTAAACACCCCATTGGTTCTTACCATTGCCTTCTAGGCACTTCACCCACATTTGATTGGCCAGAGCAAAGGTGGCCACACCCACCTTCCAAAATGCTGTTGTGGAAGGAGAGAGGTCTGCCACTGAACCAAGAGACATAAACCAAATCAAACCCACTGCCATTGGGCCACTTCCCACTGTGACAGAATAGAACTGCCTTATGGGGTTTCTATGGTTTTGAAAGTTGCTAATCTTTATGGAATCATTCTTCCACATCGTTCTCCTCCAGAATGAGTGCTGAGTTTGAGTGGCTGACCTTTCTGTTAGCACATAACCACCGTGGCGCTATCAGCGCTCCTTAACTGACCTTGCCTCAGAAAACAGACTCACTGCCATCGAGTGGATGCTGACTCATAGCAGCCCCATAGGACAGGGCAGAACTGCTGCTGTGAGTTTCTGAGACCATACCTCCATGGGATTAGGAAGCCCCATCTTTTCTCATCCGGAGCAATCCGGTGATTTCAAACTGCTGACTTTGAAGAACAAAGTCCAGGGCTTAACCACTAGGCAACCAGGGTTCCTGTAAATGACCAGAGGGAGATGCAATTTGACATGCGCTGGAGTACTGATTGCTGTAACTTCTTGCTGCTCTGCGCGATTGGTCATGAGGGCATTAATGGAATAGGTACGATATAATGAGCACTTTTTCTTTGGTCTGTCCTAAGTACTTTACACATTTCTTATTTAATCCACACAACAATCCTCATTTCAATACAGGAGGGAAAATAATCTGTTTAGAAATTGAGGCAATCGGGGTTCAGAGAGATCAGAAGCTCACACCCTAGGTCACCAGAGGTGACCTACCTGGCTTGGAGCCAAGGTCTAACTTCCACACCGTCTTTAGACCTCATTATGCTGTATCTTTAGTATTCACGGCCGCTCATCTAAATTCACGGATAGCGTATGAAGCATCGGTCACCTCCTTTCAAATGCTTCCTCATGCTGGGAAGGCGCTGAGGTGAGTGGGGCGCTGACTGCTTCTAGATCCAGAACTTGGAGCCCTTGCTCCTGAATCCCTTTGAAAGGTGGATGCCAGAGAAGTTCAGTCAGGTTCACCCCGAGGTAAAAATGTATTTGTATTTGTATTTCTCAGTGCTAAGGGGGCTCATTTACATGCTTGTTGCATCTGAGTACATGGTGGGAACTGTTATCATCCACCGATCACCTAATTATGAATAATTGTGTGTGTTTTCAGCATTGCTAAACCACCTTGGAAGTGGTTGGCTTGTTGTTCTCCTTGGCGGGATGCTTTATAAATGAACTCAGATAGGGCAGGCATCATTCAGATGGAGGGCACCAGGTACCTACCTCTAGTCATAGAAATATTAGCACACATATATTTCCATTTCAATGCACAGAAGTATATATATATATATATATACACACATACATATTATGTATGTGTGTCTGTATATAGAGAATTTGTTTTCTTTTTTGGCTTTTTTACATTTTGCATGAAATAGGTGCCCCCACCACCACCACCACCACCACCCCAACCCCCGTTGCTGTAGGAACCGCAAGAACAAATACTTTCATGTGTTAAATTAATAAGGCAATATTGGAAGCTGACTTCCCTTGAAGACAAGAACAGTCTTTGGGCTCCCATTGTTTTGTCTAGAAAATTACTGAGTGACATAAGAAAACAATGCATCATTAACCGTTGATAAGAAGGTCCACACTGGCGTTTCCTGTGAGGTCTGTTGTCTGCCAGAACTCTTGAAAACAAGGCAAGGAGCTGTTTAGTGAGAAGGAGCTCAAAGGGAAGTTCGGTTTTGAAGGGTTTGCACACAGTCTTCCTGTTCAAAGGACCACTCATATCCTGAGCTGTTAAAACCCCTCAATTACACCCCTGAGCTGTTAACACACACACACCCGCCCCCTATAGTATCCCATTGGCCATTGTATACCCTGGAGATGCTTATCATCGGTTGTAAAAATGCCATGGGAGTGGTTTTTGACCAGGAGGAAGGAAAATCAAACTCATCAGCCTGAGGTCGATTCCTATGAGGCAGAGGTCAGACATGCCTCCCACCCTCCAGCCTTCCTTACCACTTCTGAAAACAGCCATCACTCCCACAGCCCTCTCGCCTTCTCCTCAGAGTCCCAGAATCCATTGCAATGGCCATTCAGAACTCAGACAATACTTAAAATGATGGAGCTTGTTAGGGAAGTAAACATGGTACCAGTTAGGATCAAAAATGCTCAGGATACAGTTCTTCTAACAGAAGCACCTCTTCTCAGCCATACCCAAAGGTATAGCTGAGCCTCCTGCCTGAAGGCACTGAGCTTTACTCACTGAGAAGTCCCCTCTCTGAGTTGTGCTTTGGGCTTTGCTCCTGCTGTCCCTCTGCGAGTCTGCTAGTGTCCTAGCTCTCTGCCCCCTAGGCCAAGGAGGCTGAGCATACAGTGATCTTAGGTCTAAAGGGTGTGCTCCACTCTGGCTCTTCTTTCTTGGTCGGAGTGCAGCCTCCTGTTCCTGCTGCTGAGATGGCTCCTTTTATACACAGCACGATGACAAAACGAACCGACTCCCATTAGAGTTCCCATGTTTTACAATCATAATTAACCCTGTTATCAATTTATTCATAAAATTCTATCAGCACTTACTCATATATTTGCTGACCTAGACCTATTAGGAAAATGGAAACACACCCAGTCTGTCAGTGGGACTTGCAAAGACTTTGGCTTGAAGTGCTATATCAAGTCAACCATTGCACCACCTCGGTGTAACCTTTTTCTTCCCCTGGTTTCTAGTTAAACAATCAAGGATTCAATATAAAGACTCAGTTTATCAGTTGTGCCAGTTGGTGATTCAGACCCACCCAGATGCACCTGGGAAGACAGACCCAACAACCTGCTTCCCTGAGGCTATACTCGTGAGAACTTGTAGAGCGCAGGGTCTCCACGAGGGGGAATCAACTCTGGGGCACTGACAGCAGCAATGTGGAGAGTCTTAATTTTCAAAATCTTAATCTAGTCTATGCCATTAATCTCATTGAATCTGAGTTTCCCTTCCTATAAAATAAAGAGACCAGAACCTTAGCCCCATTCAAGTCCTCGTTTACTGTTACTCTGAATCTTTTAGAAATACAGACTCGGATTTTACTTTTCATTTCTTCAAAGTAAATATATAGCATATACTAACTCCTCACTTGTGAACTATCTCATGACTTGACATTTTTCATCAACAACTATAGTAAAAAATCTGTGATCCAACTATTTTTGTATATCAATGACATACATTTGGCAAAAATGAAAGCCAAGGTATGAAGCTCTGA